TGGACGTCCCGTACATGACCTGACCATTGTTTTTTTTCTACTTATTAGAAATTAGGTTTTTATTTGTGTCTAAAGAAGAATAGAGGCCTATATCTCCAAAACGCTGCAGTAAAATGGTTAGATAATTGGTGTGCACACTATATGGGACGTCCCGTACATGACATGACCATTATTTTTTACTACTTATTAGAAATGAGGTATTTATGGGCCTCTAAAGTCGAATAATGTTACATTTCTCCAAAATGCTACAGTAAAATTATTTGATATGAGGTGCGTATACTGTATGGGACGTCCCGTATAAGAACTGACCTTTTTTTTTTCTACTTATTGAAAATTAGAGTTTTATGGGCCTCTGAAGTTGAATAATGGGACATTTCTCCAAAATGCTACAGTAAAATGGTTTGATATGAGGTGTGTGTACTCTATGGACGTCCCGTATAAGAACTGACCATTATTTTTTTCTACTTATTAGAAATGAGGTATTTATGGCCCTCTGAAGCCGAATAATGGACATTTCTCCAAAATGCTACAGTAAAATGTTTGATATGAGGTGTGTGTACTCTATATGACGTCCCGTACATGAACTGACCGTTATTTTTTTCTACTTATTGAAATGAGATTTTTATGACCCTCTGAAGTCAAATAATGTGACATTCTCCAAAATGCTGCAGTAAAATGGTTTGATATAAGGTGTGTATACTTATGGACGTCCCGTATAGAACTGACCGTTCGTTTTTTCTACTTATTAGAAATGAGGTATTTATTGGCCCTCTGAAGTCATAATGGGACATTTCTCCAAAATGCTACAGTAAAATTGTTTGATATGAGGTTGTTGTACTCTATGGGACGTCCCGTATAAGAACTGACCGTTATTTTTTCTACTTATTGAAAATGAGGTTTTTATGGCCTCTAAAGTTGAATAATGTGACTATTCTCCAAAATGCTACAGTAAAATGGATTGATATGAGGTGTGTGTACTGTATGAGACGTCCCGTATAAGAACTGACCATTATTTTTTTCTACTTATTAGAAATGAGTTATTTATGGGCCTCTGGAGTCGAAAATGGGACATTTCTCCAAAATGCTACAGTAAAATGGTTTGATATGAGGTGTGTGTACTGTATGGGACGTCCCGTACTAAGAACTGACCATTATTTTTCTACTTATTAGAAATGAGGTATTTATGGCCTCTGAAGTCGAATAATGGGACATTTCTCCAAAATGCTGCAGTAAAATGGTTTGATAATGAGGTGTGCATACTGTATGGGACGTCCCGTACATGACCTGACCATTGTTTTTTTCTACTTATTAGAAATGACGTTTTTATTTGTGTCTAAAGTAGAATAGAGGCCTATATCTCCAAAACGCTGCAGTAAAATGGTTAGATAATTGGTGTGCACACTCTACGGGACGTCCTGTACATGACCTGACCATTGCTTTTTTCTACTTATTAGAAATGAGGTTTTTATTTTGTCTAAAGTAGAATAGAGGCCTATATCTCCAAAACGCTGCAGTAAAATGGTTAGATAATTGGTGTGCACACTCTATGGGACGTCCTGTACATGACCTGACCATTGTTTTTTCTACTTATTAGAAATGAGGTTTTTATTGTGTCTAAAGTAGAAGAGAGGCCTATATCTCCAAAACGCTGCAGTAAAATGGTTAGATAATTGGTGTGCACACTGTATGGGATGTCCCGTACATGACCTGACCATTGTTTTTTTCTACTTATTAGAAAATGTTTTTTATACGTGTCTAAAGTAGAAGAGAGGCTTATATCTCCAAAATGCTGCAGTAAAATTGCTAGATAATTGGTGAGCACACTCTATGGGACATCCCGTACATGACCTGACCATTGTTTTTTCTACTTATTAGAAATGAGGTTTTATTGGTGTTTATAGTTGAATAGTGACGTTTATCTTCAAAACGCTGCAGTAAAATGGCTAGATAATTGGTGAGCACACTCTATGGGAAGTCCCGTACATGACCTGACCATTGTTTTTTTCTACTTATTAGAAAATAGGTTTTTATAGGTGTCTAAAGTAGAAGAGAGGCCTATATCTCCAAAACGCTGCAGTAAAATGGTTAGATAATTGGTGTGCACACTCTACGGGACGTCCCGTACATGACCTGACCATTGCTTTTTTCTACTTATTAGAAATGAGGTTTTTATTTGTGTCTAAAGTAGAAGAGAGGCCTATATCTCCAAAACGCTGCAGTAAAATGGTTAGATAATTGGTGTGCACACTGTATGGAATGTCCCGTACATGACCTGACCATTGTTTTTTTCTACTTATTAGAAATGAGGTTTTTATTGGCATTTATAGTACAATAATGGCCTATATCTCCAAAACGCTGCAGTAAAATGGTTAGATAATTGGTGTGCACAATCTATGGGACGTCCCGTACATGACCTGACCATTGTTTTTTTCTACTTATTAGAAATGAGGTTTTTATTTGTGTCTAAAGTAGAAGAGAGGCCTATATCTCCAAAACGCTGCAGTAAAATGGTTAGATATTTGGTGAGCACACTCTATGGGACGTCCCGTACATGACCTGACCATTTTTTTTTCTACTTATTAGAAATTAGGTTTTTATTTGTGTCTAAAGAAGAATAGAGGCCTATATCTCTAAAACGCTGCAGTAAAATGGTTAGATATTTGGTGAGCACACTCTATTGGACGTCCCGTACATGACCTGACCATTGTTTTTTTCTACTTATTAGAAATTAGGTTTTTATTTGTGTCTAAAGAAGAATAGAGGCCTATATCTCCAAAACGCTGCAGTAAAATGGTTAGATAATTGGTGTGCACACTATATGGGACGTCCCGTACATGACATGACCATTGTTTTTTTCTACTTATTAGAAAATAGGTTTTTATAGGTGTCTAAAGTAGAAGAGAGGCATTGGGAAATTAGGACATGGGACATTTAATTTATGAGAAACTGTCATTTTAATACTAAAAAAACATGAAAAAAGAGGCATTTAAAAAGAGTGTATACTTTTTTTTATCTCTTTTTACAAATAATTATGCTGTAAACCTGTACATAAAAAATGTCTTGAGGTGTTACCTGTAAAGAAAACAAAACAAAACATATGTCAAAGAATTACAAATGTCAAAGACGAAATGAGTGTATATAAAAAGGAAAACAGAGTAACACAAAAACATTCTCAAAACATGGAATATATCATCATAGATAGATAGATAGATAGATAGATAGATAGATAGATAGATAGATAGATAGATAGATAGATAGATAGATAGATTAATTACAAAAGAAAGAAAGAAAGAAAGAAAATAGATAGATAGATAGATAGATAGACAGACAGAATAGACAGATAGATAGATAGATAGATAGATAGATAGATAGATAGATAGAATAGATAGATAGATAGAAAAAATAGAAAGAAAAAAAATAGAAAAAAGAAAGAAAGAAAAATAGAAGATAGAAAGAAGAAAAAATAGAAAGATTGAAAGAAAGAAATTAAGATAGAAAGAAAGAATGAAAGAAAAAAATAGAAAGAAAGAAGAAAATAGAAAAAAGAAAAAGAAAGAAAAATAGAAAGATAGAAAGAAAGAAAAAGTAGAAAGAAAGAATGAAAGAAAGAAAAATAGAAGAAAGAAGAAAGAAAGAAAGAAAGAAAGAAAGAAAGAAAGAAAGAATGAGAATGAAAGAAAGAAGAAAAATAGAAAGAAAGAAAGAAAATAGATAGATAGATAGATAGATAGATAGAAGAGAGAGAGAGAGAGAGAGAGAGAGAGAGAGAGAGAGAGAGAGAGAGAGAGAGAGAGAGAGAGAGAGAGAGAGAGAGAGAGAGAGAGCTGGGCAACTGAAGCGCCATGAAAGCGCATTCTCTCCGTTACTGAAATTACCGTATTCATAGTAATAGGCGCACACGCTTATTTTTTTAGCGGCTGGCTTGACCGTGTATTTTCAAACTGCGGCTGGCTTGACCGCGGTCCTGTACGGAGCCGTACGGTTTACAAAGATTTCCTGGGCGAGTACAAGACGCGGACATTCGCGTATAATAACAATTATTTAATGACATAAGTAAAAAAAAAATATAATAAATGTGTGATATAGTGATCAGCAAAATCTCCTCTCTTGTTATTTTTTCTATTCAATTTACATGCTATGGTCATTAAATGGCTTTCCTGAGCTGAATGTAACGTTATGTCAATGTTATGTGACATAATTGTTCTCCTGCTGTTATATTGACCTCTTTCCATGGTTTAAAAACAGTAGTTGGTCGATATTATGTATACTTTCTAGCTGTAACGTTACCTTACCCATGCCCGTTACAATGTAAAAATGAGATAAATAATGGACACAAATGAAAAACATGAAATTGTTTATTTGATTTCATTTATTTATTTATTGTTGCCAAATGGACAGATCTTTTTTTAGTTTCCTCGGTAGCAAACGTTAGCCTAGCTAGCTTGCCAAGCTATTTTCATAAATAATCTGTAAGATCGTTTGTACCTTCATCTGTGACTGGAGGCCAATGTCTAACATCATCAACTTAACAAGTCTGTCTGGCTGTAGCTGTCATCGAGGGTGCGTTATTTTTTACAGTCTATGGTTATCACCTTATCTCCGAGGTTTGTTTACATACCGGTGCATATGTCTATGCCGGTGTAACAGCTCAGTAATGGCGTCGCCACAAGATGGCAGCCTACACAAGTACGCTCGTCGGATTCGTCTTCCCTCTGCTCGCTGATGCTGCTGTCTGCCACTTCAGTGCCAAGATCAGAGAGCAGGAGATTGTGGCAGAGGTGCAAGAGAGAGAAACCGTGAGTCCAAATATAAGTCTGTAGGACGCGTATTTTTTACTGTGTGCAGCACGTAATATATTTGTGTCTTGCAGGCGAGGGATCGGTATGATGATGCTGTGAGTTCGGGTCAGCAGGCGTTTCTGCTGGAAGAGAGCGCAGAGAGTCCTGATGTGTTCAGACTGAGTGTCGGGACGGGTGTCTGTCGCCGGGTCAGAACGCTGCCGTCACCATCATCTACGTCACCGAGCTCGATGTGCAGGCCGACCACTCGCTGCGCTTCTGTCTGCTGGCTGTGCTCAACCCCCGATACACACCAGCAGGTACAGCAGCTGCAGACACACTTTATTAGTGGAGACAAGCTGATTCTAACACACTCTCTCTCCTTGTGTGTGTGTGTGTGTGTGTGTGTGTGTGTGTACATACAGTAGTCAACATTTGAAGTGGATTAAAAAAGTTAATCAAAGTTATCCTAAGACAAGAACGGGTATTGTTCAAAAATTTTACGTATTTGATGAAAGGTTTTGATCCACTTCAAATGTTGACTGCTGTAGATTATAGGTACTTTCTGCTTTTCTGTCTTCAGAAAAAAGGATCTTGCATTGTGTCTTGCCATTCAGGTCCTCTGTCTATCTGACTATAAACGGGTGCCATGTGACAGTATTATATGAGTGTTAATTAAATAATGTGCATTAAAAACAGCATTGGAAACCTATTTTTACTTTGCCTTCATATTATTGTTACTGTTCAAATTCACGTGATTTGAGATGCGTTGGAAGTTGTGACATTTTAGTTGATTAATTTTTCATTTGATGCATCCATCTACTTTGTCGGATACTGTTAATAAACAAATGTTACTATTGAAAGTGTTCATTTAAGAGAGTTCATTTTCGAAAAGCTCACACCATCAAAAGTGGCCGCAGTTGCAGAAATTTGGTGAATATAAAAACCATACAAGGCTGACATTTAAAACAGTACTTGTTTTTGGACTTGCTCAAGTAGTTACAAAAAAACCAAATCAAATGGTCAGTGAGAAAGATACGGACGGATATGCACATGTAGATCATTTTAAGTGTAACATACAGAGCAGTTTGTCTATAACTTAAATATTTGTAAATCACCGTTTTTAAAGGTAAATGTCTTTTTGAACCCGTTTATCAGATTATTATTAAATGTATAATCCTGTAGGGGGCGGTAATTCAACATCCACGTGCCGTTCATACAGTGAAGAAAAAGACAAACAACAGCATCAGAATGGACTTTGATATAAGTACGCCTGCTTCCTCATGAGTCTGAGAATAATATTATAAATCACACTGATCATATACAGTTATTAAACAGTTATTTTTATTAACATCATCCAGAGCGTTTTAATGGCGTCAGGAAGCGCCACTGGTGGATGACTTCTGGCATTTGAACCTCTAAAGTGTCCATGGCAAGAACTTCTAGGACCAAACAGCCATGACGGGAACCACTGGTCCGGGACAGACAGGGTAGGAAGCTTTAAACTGAAACAGAGAGACATAATTTACATTTATTCATTTAGCTGACGCTTTTATTCAAAGCGACTTACAATTGCAATATACTGTATATCAGAGGTCGCACACCTCTGGAGCAACTAGGGCTTAAGTGTCTTACTCACATTGGTGCCTCACAGTGGATTCCAACACGGGTCTTTCACACCAAAGGCATGTGTCTTATCCATTGTGCCATCATTCACCACCCCGTCACACAAACCTCTGGGCCGGCAGTGGCGAGATTTATTAACTGACTGTGAGGCGCTAATGATGGGAACTTCTGGGACAGGGTGGACCAGACGGAAATAACTAGGAGCTTGGATACTGTTGTGGCTGAGATGGTCATCATGAGTGCTGACCTTGTGACAAGAACAGGAATCTCTGGTGTGCCTGTGGCAGGAATTACTGGGGCAGCCATGACTGGGAGCACTGGTATTGAGGAGGCAGTCGCATATATCATAGATCAGTCGTATCAGGACCCTTGTTACCGGCTGTGACCAGGAGAGGGAGCTCTGTCATCGGAGAGGCAGAAAGCTCTGGCATTCAGAAGCCATGATGAAACCTTTTATCGCGTGCCCCTTCGCGGCGGCGGCGACGACGACTCATTCGAATGTCTGCCCTATCAACTTTCGATGGTACATTCGGCGCCTACCATGGTGACCACGGGTAACGGGGAATCAGGGTTCGATTCCGGAGAGGGAGCCTGAGAAACGGCTACCACATCCAAGGAAGGCAGCAGGCGCGCAAATTACCCATTTCCGACACAGAGAGGTAGTGATGAAAAATAACAATGAAGGTCTCTTTCGAGGCCCTGCAATTGGAATGAAAACAAAAAGGGGCTCTTATGTGGCGACCTGAAACAACACAGAAAAAAGAACAGATTTGACTTAGCGAATTCTTCCTATGAGAAAATCAAATGATTTTTAGCCGATCTTAGTTTAACTACCTTAAACCAGTTGTGGGACAGAATCATCCCCAGACTGAGTCGCTGGCTCGGCTTCTCCTTTAGCAAAGACCCGAGGAGGCGACAGCATTCTGTGCAGGAAGACGTCTGATTATTACCTCAAACTTTACATCATGTCTTGTATGATAGTGAACTATTAATTCTAGATCTCACCTGGAGACAGGTTGGGTTTGCACCAGAGCTTCTGTTTCAGGAGCATCAGGTCATAGTCACTAGGGAAATGTCCACATAACATGACGAACATCAGAATCCCTAGTGACCATGCCGTCGCCTGCCTGCCGTGGTACTTCCCCTTGGCACGGTACTCGGGAGGACAGTACGCTGATGTGCCTGAGGAAAGATTTTGTGTGAGATGTAAATTTGTAATGCGTTCCCACATCTTTGAGTGCAGCTTTGAGTTACAATACATACCGGAGTATGACCTGTACACCGAACTCCTCAGAATGTCCCCACACCCGAAGTCTATCAGCTTGACTTCAGACGTCTCCATGTTGATGAGGAGATTTTCCAGTTTGATGTCACGGTGGAGAACTCTGCGATCGCAGCACACGTTGGCAGCGTGAACCGTCTGCCTCATGATGTGCCGTACCTTTTCCTCATCGAGTCTTCCACCGTGACGCTTCATGAACCGGATCAGATCCTCACATGGAGAGGGACATTCGAGGACCATGACGAAGTGGTCAGGGCGGTCCTGCCAGTCCAGCAGCCGGATGATCTCAGGCACACGGGGACCTTTACTGGCCAGGATGGTGAGGGCGACCTCTTTAGGAAGGGGCTTTGGATGATCAGGCTAGAAGAATTTGGTTTGGAAATAAAGATTTAGCTCAGTCTTGGATCAGTTTGTTAATTGAATAAACAATCAAATATCTGTCTGTGGTTAATTTTAATATGAGGTGTTTTATATTGTGCAGCCTACTTACAATGAATATACATTCAGTCTTTTCCGTCTTTGTGACGTATTTCACGGCCACCTGATGAACAAAACAAACAATTAATGTGTGCAAAAGCCATAAGATACACTAAGAAGGCTTAGAGTGATATATCAGAAGATAATTCACAAGATCATGTTTAATTTATTTTGACTCACTTTAAGATCATCCTCCAGACGTCTCCCTTCATACACCACACCAAAACCACCTTTCCCCAGCTGATCACCAATAGTGTAGTGACTGAAGATGTAGTCTATTAAAAGACAAAACAACATGATGGATATATTTATTTTAATGTATTAAATAATTAATTAACAGTGACTATATGGAATATTTACAGTTTTAACATCAGTACATATGTATACATACACTGTAAAAATTAATACGCTTTATCTAATCAAATAAAAATTGTGGCAACAGATTACAAGCAATAATATTAATTAAATTGAACAAATTAGAATTGAGTAATAATTAATCAAATTAATTCCTTAAAAGTTAACCATTTAAAATGAGTAAAGTTTACACACAAATATTTAACATAAATATCTGAATAACAGACAAACGTCAAAGATTGATTAAGAACTATTTATATTTTATTACAACATTGAAGACACCTGATGTTAACAAGCAGAATTACTGAAGGAGAAAACCGTAATTTTAAAACAATCCTAAAACAAACACCGATCACCATAATGGTGACTTAAGTATTTTGTTTGTTGTTGTTGTAAGTTTTACTCATTTTAAATGGTTAACTTTTAAGGAATTAATTTCATTCATTGATACTCAATTCTAATTTGTTAAATGTAATTAATAATATTGCTTGTAATCTGTTACCACATTTTTTTTTTATTAGATAAAGCGTATTCGTTTTTACTAATGTTGTACCATATAATAAAGATCTAATGGCATTGATGTGTTGGTATAATTTGCACTGATGTGTATTTGATATTGTCATTGTGTGTGATACAGTATGAGTTTTTACGTGGTCAAATCAGAGATCTAGTCATTTATATTCTCATAAGATATCTGTTGAAATTTACCATCACTACTTCTTCCTGCCCATGCTACCTTCCTCTCCTTTCCCTCATCCCTCTGCTTCTCCTCTCCCTGTTTACTGTCAGCTCTGAAGAAAGAGACCATCCTCCTCCACCACTTCCTCTTTCTTCTCTTCAGCACTCTCCCTGACTCCTTCCTCTCCTCGCCTCCGTCTCCTTCTCCTCTCTCCATCAACCTCCTCAACTTCACCTCACTTTCCTCTCCTCCTCCTCCTCCTCCTCCTAATCCTCCTCCTTCTCCTCCTCCTCCTCCTCCTCCTCCTCTCCTCTCTTGGCTCTTTCCCACACCAGCAGCATCAACAGGAGTCTCAGTCTCATCGCGAGGACGAGGATGCTGAACCGCCGTGTTAATGCTGGGTTTTGGGGGTGTGCTTTGATGTTGATCGCACACCTCGCCAATCATCGGACTCACTTTACTAACTCGCTGACCCATCGCTGTGAAAAACCACTGTCACTCTCTCTCGACCACTACAACAAACCCACAAATTGTGTCAGGCTGTGAAGCGCTTATATAGTAAACCCACGCGTTCGATTCGTTCGATTCTACTAACTTTCTTTATGACGTCATGAGTCAAACATACACTAACACAATGAAGCTAATCTGAGATCTGCTTTATCTAAATGCTTTCTTTTTTTAATAACTTTAAAATATAAGCAAATTTGTATTTTTCTAAACATCTCTCTAATACAGACTATTTTACATGAATTGATATTTTTAGTATTGAAATCTGTTGTTTTTGTCTGTTGAAACTACGGCCAAATCTATTGTGTTTGCAGTGATATTCCTACATGGGGTTGTTACAAAATATTGTCAACAAGAAATAGATGACGTCTAGCCTAACTAATGTGTAATATGTTCAGATTTGATGCAGTTTCTTGGTAGTTGAAGAAACGTGCGGACTCTTAAATTAGGAAAAAAAGTTATTAAAGTATCTGTAATATCATCCCTGATGTATAATACTCAGCCATATGTTTTTGTTTGTTTGTTTGTTTTTTATTCAACTTTTAATGACATTTTACAACAAATATATAAGACACATAATGGAGAAAACACATAACAGATCTTACATTGTACAGAGTAAAACATTAAATTCTACAAACTATTGTTTCCTCTCAGCCATATGTTTATAAACTCCTCTATAGAAAATTCGTTTGGAATAAAAATCTCAGCTTTACGTCTCTTCTGCAGTAAATTAATATTCATGAGCCAAACCCACGCCTCAGTTTAAATAGCAGGATCTCTGATCTCAGCGCAGTTTAATGGCCTTTAACGGTCTTCTGACTGAAACTACGGAGCGTTTCAACGACTTCCAGAAATCATCTCTTCTTCTCCAAAACACTCGGTCACGTTATAAACTCTAAACACGTAACGTTATTTACTATTTTTATTAACTGAGTCTTATGTAAGGATTTAAGGCACATTTAAAAGGCGTATTTTCAGTTTTTGATTTTCACTTTCGCTCACTTTTAAAGTAGGTCATCTTATTTCCTAAACGCAGCGTGAGAATGATGAACTGCGGTCTTGTGACTGAGAAAAATGATCTGGGTATGAATTCACCTGTTTACTTTACAGTTTCTAAATGTATTTAGCCTATCATTAATATTTAGAGTTTGTGTGTTTTTCAATCAATGAAGTTTGTCGCGAGGAGGGCTTTATCTCAGTGTGGACTTTGGGACTATTGCTGTTCTCTCTGTAGCAGCTAAAGTTACTTCCTCTTAGCACTATTTTTCAGAAGTATTGTAGGCTATATCATACTGTTATGCCGACGATCTCCAGTTTTACTTTCCTGTGAGCTTAAATAAAACATGTTCACTGGACAAAGCACAAGAATGTTACAGCGACATAAAACTGTGGCTTTCTAGCAACTTTCTCCAATTAAATGAGAGTAAAACTTTAGGCTCTCCCATCTCATCTCACCTACCTAAAGATTGAAGATCATGTAAAGAGTTTAGAGGTGATCATGGACAGATCGTTAAAGGTAGCTTTTTTAAGCTGCGATCAATTGCTAAAGTAAAGCATTTGGATTGTGGTGCACTCTTTTATTTCATCAAAGTTTGACTATTGCAATTCTTTATTGGTCTCCCCAGACTATGCTAGTCCGCCTACAGTTAGTGCAAAATGCAGTGGCAAGGCTTTTAACAGGCGTGATGAAGAGACTGTACTCCTGGACTGCAATCCTTACATTGGCTTCCGGTTAAATTCAGGATTGATTTTAAAGTCCTCTTGTCTGCCTATCAGGCCTTGGCCTCGAACATCAGTGATCTTATTATTCCCTACTCTCCTTCTAGAGTTCATACGTTCTCCGATCAAATAAGGCTATAAAGGTCCCTCGTTGTCATTTAAAATCAAAAGGAGATTGTGCTTTTTCTGTGGTGGGTACCAAACTTTGCAATAATTTACCATTCCACGCGAGGTCAGCTCCATCAATTGCCACTTTTAATTCTTATTTAAAAAACACATTTATTTTCTTTAGCTTTTGAATAAGTTATGTTTTGTTTTGTTGCACGATTTTAATGTTATAATTTTTGTAAAGCACTTTGGGGCAACGTCTGTTGTTTAAAAATGTGCTATATAAATAAAGTTTCTTGCTAGTATTATTTTATTTATACTGAAGGTAGAATTTAACTGAACTATTTTTTCGTTTGTTTTCATAGAGAGTCTAATAGACGTTTTGTGATGTTCTTGTTGTTCTGTTGGTTTGTGTGACTCAGTGCCTCTGAAGAGCATCTCTGTGGAGGTCCGTGTTCAGGATCATGTCTCCACAGTCTCCTCCACTCTGCTGTATGTGAATGAGGAAGAGCGCCCCCTGGAGGCCTTGTTCGTGTTCCCTCTGCCCGCTGATGCTGCTGTCTGCCACTTCAGTGCCAAGATCGGAGAGCAGGAGATTGTGGCAAAGGTGCAAGAGAGAGAAACCGTGAGTCCAATTATAAGTCTGTAGGAAGTGTATTTTTTACTGTGTGCAGCACGTAATATATTTGTGTTTTGCAGGCGAGGGATCGGTATGATGACGCTTTGAGTTCGGGTCAGCAGGCGTTTCTGCTGGAAGAGAGCGCAGAGAGTCCTGATGTGTTCAGACTGAGTGTCGGGTGTCTGTCGCCGGGTCAGAACGCTGCCGTCACCATCATCTACATCACCGAGCTCGATGTGCAGGCCGACCACTCACTGCGCTTCTGTCTGCCGGCTGTGCTCAACCCCCGATACACACCAGCAGGTACAGCAGCTGCAGACACACTTTATTAGTGGAGACAAGCTGATTCTAACACACTCTCTCTCTGTGTGTGTGTGTGTGTGTGTGTGTGTGTGTGTGTGTGTGTGTGTGTGTGTGTGTGTGTGTGTGTGTGTGTGTCAGGCAGGAGCTGGTATAGTCTCAGAGATTTCATCAGTATGTGGAGCTGCTCCCTACACGCTGACACTCAGTGTCCATGTGAGCTCTCCAAAGCCCATCTCCAAACTAGAGTCCAACTGCACTCTGGATCCTCTAGTGTTCCTCCGCTCGGATCACACTCAGGCTACGGTACTGTGTGTGTCTTCATGTGTTTATCTGGATGTGTGAGCACAGTAGTGTTATTCATGTGTTTTTATGTGTGTAGGTGAATCTGAGTCCTGGTCACATGTTTGATAAGGACGTTGAGCTGTTTCTGTACTATCAGGATACCCATCAGCCCTCTGCTGTAGTGGAGGCAGGAGTGGCCACTGCCCCATCAGGTCGGACCTGCAGATCACTGGCATTATGGGATTGAGTGATCAAGGTTTCACTGACTCTCTCTCTCTATTTCAGGCTCTCTGATGAGGGACCCAGTGGTCATGATAAGTTTGTACCCAGAATTCCCTGAAGAAGTGATGTCATCACTGGCAACACAAGGAGAGTTTATTTTTGTGATGGACAGATCAGGCAGTATGGGTGGGATGCCCATAGAAAGCGCAAAGGTAAGATTTTGCTTTTTAAGTGGAGGTCAAATTTAATTAGTACATTTTGTGCATAGTTATAATATTGTTACACTTTTTTTGCATTGCAGTCGCTTTGATGAAAAATCCCTCATTTTGTTCAATAATTCGATTCATGAACAGATTGTCTCTTGTTCAGACTCAAATCAATGACTCTCGTTCAGGAAAGGGGTTCAGTAGGTCGAATGCTCCTTCACAACCCACTCGAATACAGTTGGTTATAGTCACACCGCACGGTTCAAAACAGATTTTTTCTCTCCTGATTTCAAAACAGAGGTACTTCAGTGTACAATAAATAACAGTCAGTATATGAAAGTGAACAAGAACTCTTTGTTCAAAATACACTGATTTGTTAAATTTTCTGAATTTTTAGTTGGACTTTTACAACATTTTAAAACATTTCAGTGTTTGACCAAAATGTATGTTTTTCCAAAAACTGCTCATTTTGATTTCTGCTCATTCTGATGGTGCGCATCACAAATAGAATCAGTTTTGATGTCATGTTGAGTTTAAATATCTGTCCATGTCTCTCTACTATAGGACACTCTGCTGTTACTGTTGAAGAGCCTGCCAATGGGATGCTACTTCAATATCTATGGATTTGGCTCTCGTTTTGAGTCTTTCTTCCCGTTAGTAACTAGATCTTCATTCATTGATATTCAGTTTTGAAATCTGTCAGAGAGGAGATGAGATGTTTTTGTGTGCCTTTGCAGTCAGAGTGTCGAGTACAGTCAGGACACGATGGATCAGGCTCTAAAAAGAGTGAAGGAAATGAAAGCAGACCTGGGCGGCACAGAGATTTTACAGCCTCTAAAACACATCTACAGCCAGCCGTGCAACCCTGACCATCCCAGACAGGTACAACAACACTTCAACATGCATCTGATTGACAAACTGACAGTCATGTGAAAGTGTCAACAAGGCTAAAAAAGTTCACCAAAAAATTAAGTTTCTGCCACTTTTATTTCTCACCCTCATGTCGTTCCAAACCCATAAGACTTTTTTTTAATGAAATCTGAGAGGTTTCTGTTCCTCCATTGTAAGTCCATTCACCTAATACTTTGATGCTTCAAAAAATTCAAAAAGTGAACATGATACATGTGAATCAAGCAGTTAAATCTAAAATTTCAAAAGATTTTTTCAAACTTATAAACAGACATACACTCTAAAAGTGAACATTTTCAGTTGTTGCTTTAATGATGTATTTCCACCTGATTCTACCAAAGTTCTAATTTTGTTATTGTAATAATAACCTACTTCAATTAGTTCAAAAATGTGATTTCGAATCATTAAACACATTAACTTGCATCAAGGTGAAAAAACCACAACTGACTGAGCTATTTCCCTTTACTGAAAAACATAAAATAACACTTAAGGAGGACTCGGACTCTTGGGAAGTGAATAACGGGGACTGGTAACTGAGGCAAGCATGGAATGGGGATAATCCCGTGGCGGACAACGGTAACGAATTGTTAGCATATTCAGCCTAGGAAATTTGGTTGCACCAGGAAGCAGGACTCGTGAGAAGTCAGACTAAGTAACATGCGACCAAGAATCTGGTATGCTCAGCTTGCCCGTTGGTCTGGGGAAGGAGCCCTGACCACATACTGGAGGACGTCCCAATCAGTTGACGGAATTCCCCCCAGAATTGTTAGGCAAACTGTGGCCCTTTCGAAATGATGTCTGTCGGAAGCCCATGGATCTTTAAAAACGTGCTTGACCTTCACCTGACGGTAATTTGGGAAGCGAGATAAAATGAGCCGCCTTAGAAAATTGATCTACCACTGTCAAGATTACCGTGTTCCCCGCTGACGGAGGAAGACCCATTACAAAGTCCAGAGCGATGTGCGACCACGGACGAGAAGGAATGGGAAATGGTCTAAGGAGACCCACGGGTGGAAAATTAATCTTCTTAGTCTGGGCTCAGACAGGACATGAATCTACAAAATGACTTATGTCGTGCTCTCTAGTAGACCATCAAAATCTTTGGCGAATGGCCAGCGTTCCTCTTACACCGGGATTGACGGCTAATTTGGAGGAATGACCCCACCGGAGAAGGGGCGAACAAGCGGCTTCCGGAAACAAATAAAGCTCCCTCAGGAACTTCAGGTGATCTTGTGATGTGTGAAAGAGCTCTTTTCACAGTCTGTTTGACTCCCCAGACAGCAGCCCCGACCACATAATGGTGTGTCACGGCGCTTTTCCAATACACAGTACCAGCTCGACTCGGCTCGGCTCACCTTTGTTCGGTTTTCCACTGTGTAAAAGTTGTACCTGTAGCTGCTTTCGGGTACTTTTTTTAATATCACCTAAGACGAGCTAAGCCGGTTCTAAAATGTGAAGTGAAAACAATGCCGACTGCTGATTGGTCAGAGAGAATCGTCACCATTCACTGCGTCATCATTGCACGCGCCAGATGGAGTATCCAGAATATCCCGCTATTTTTAAATAGTTTGGCCAGAGATACTAAACTTACTACTATTATTATTATGGCAACTCGGAAGAATACGCCGTGGTCAAACGAGGAGGTGCAGACTTCCCTTTGTTTGGTTGCCGAAGAGAGGATCCAGCGAGAGCTTGATGGGGCAACGAGGAATGAAAGGGGTCGCTATGATGACCGGGTACTATTTGTGGCGGTACTGTCTGCAATGAAAAATGGAGAGAAAAGCAAGCCGAGTTGAGACGAGTCGAGTCGAGCTGGTACTGGTAATGGAAAAGCGCCATTAGATACCCTCCTTGGAAGAAGCCTCTTCAGATGAGCCAAACTGACATGACAGAGCATCAGGCTTACTATTCTTTGAACCGGGTTTGTAGAAGATGGAGAACTTGAATCAACCAAAGAATAGCACCCAGCGGGCTTGTCGAGCGTTCAACCTCTTTGCAGAACGAATGTCAGCAGACATATCACCCTGTAGCCCAAGACTGGTTGCCCACTGAAGCTAAGCAGGGCTGAGCCTGGTTAGTACCTGGATGGGAGACCTTCTGAGAAAGCCAGGTTGCTGCTGGAAGAGGTGTTAGTGAGGCCAGCAGGGGGTGCTCACCCTGTGGTCTGTGTGGGTTCTAACGCCCCAGTATAGTGATGGAGATACTATACTGTCAAAGAGCACCGTCCTTCAGACGTGACTTTAAACCGAGGTCCTGACTCTCTGCGGTCATTAAAAATCCCAGGATGTCTTTTGAAAGAGTAGGGGTGTAACCCCGTCATCCTGGCCAAATTTGCCCAGTGGCCTCTGTCCATCATGACCTCCTAATCATCCCCATATATACATACAAATTGGCTTCATCACTATCTCCTCTCCACCAGTAAGCTGGTGTGTGGTGAGCGTTCTGGCGCACTATGGCTGCCGTCGCATCATCCAGGTGGATGCTGCACACTGGTGGTTGAGGAGATTCCCCTCTCTATGTAAAGCGATTTGAGTGCCGAGAAAAGCGCTAAATAAATGTAATGAATTATTATTATTATGTACTCTAAATTATGGTGATCGCGCCAAACAATGAAGGGAACACTGGCACCCTCCAACCAGTTACACCACTCCCCCAAAGCTAAACGGATCGAAGTTTGATGAGAAAAGAGGCAATATGGAAAAACCCCACATGGATGAACCTTGTCATCCCGCGAGGAGTGTTGGGAAAAGTATTGCCCCCACCCCTACTTCAGAGGCATCGACCTAGACAATGATCTCTCGTGGGATCCGGAAGATTTAAAAGGGAGCTTAGGGAGGTTAAGAGGGAGGCTTCAAAAGGGAGGTTAACAAGCTCTTGAGGGGATCGAACGCATTCTGAACCACCTCGAACCAGGTAAAGTGAGACCTGGTCGAGGTGTGCGCTGTCAGCGGGGTGGCAACCTGGCTAAAATTGCGGATAAACTGACGGTGTAAATCAGCGAACCCCCAAAAATTGTTGGAGTGCAACGCGAGAGTCCAGAGCGGACCATTCTATGACCACACAAACCTTGTCGGGGTCTATGCTGATCCCATCTGCCAACACAACAGATTCGAGGAAGGTTACCAGTCATGTGGAGTGGAACGTACACTTCTCAGCCTTAACAAACGTTGCTGCACGCGACGCACATGTTGAACTCACAAGTGGTAGCCAGAGTCCAGAACTCGATTGCGAGACCTGAAACAGATCTCTCTCCCTGGTGCAGCACAGAATGATCGAAGATCTTGATCATCTCCTCCATAAACAACTCGTAGCGACCATAGAAACACGTGAAATGATACAAAACACAGTTAAAATACATGTAATGACACAATGGCAATTCACAGTATTTTATCTCTATTTAACGCTTTGATTGTAGCCTGACTTCATCATACTCATATTCTAGTCAAAATGTGAGTCTGATACTGCTCCATAGGGCTTTGATTATGAGGCATGTCTTAACCGAACCAGGAAAAAAAAAACCTCTACACTCAATTGGATAGACCTGCAACTAATCAGAGCAATGCTGTGAGTCAGCTACATAGTTGCATAGCATAATTGTGTACAGAATTCAAACGTACACCAAACGTCCTAACCTTGATTTTAATTGGACGGTCTGTCGAGCAATGACACAGAACTGGAATAAACTTTAAAGATAGTGTTCTTTACAGAAGATCAGCAAAAATAAAAGACTCCATTCTTTGTAATAGTTTGCAGAGCTGTTAATTCACGGGGCAGCAAAACAGTTAGACAAGATAATAAAAGGTAAATCTTCATGGCGATAACATACTGTATCACACAGGCATGACTCACTCACAAGAGGAACAATCGCTAGAGGTAGAGAGGAAGTATTGAGACTAAAATGAGAACAGGTGTCACAGAGAAGCAGGGCAAAGGTCAATAGCAAAGATGAACAGTTGGAAAAATAAACAGACAGGGCCAGAGCGAGAGAGAAAAAAGACAAAGAGAGAGACAAAGATAAAGAGAGAGTGAGAACAAACCCAGCTCATGACAGCAGCAGAACAAACCTCATTGGTATTAAGCACACACCTTTGAATCTCTGTGTTTACCAAGTTTAGATCAAATCCTAAATTGAATCTGTTTATAATACACAGCAATCGTGTCTCTTCAGAAGACTTGGATTAAACTGCTCGATTCATATGGATTACACATACTTATGTTTTATTAACTTTTTTAAGTGTCAAAATTTTACATAAATCTACTTTTTCATAATTTCAAATTTCATAAAAAATACTTTCATTTGTGCATCAAATATAAACAAATAATTTTCGCGTGAACTCCCCCTTTAATACTAAGATGTTTTTCTCTTTTCAGCTGTTCATCTTCACTGATGGAGAGGTGGAAAACACTAAAGAGGTGCTGGACCTGGTCAAACATCATGTTCACTCTCACAGGTAAACGTCTGCTGGGTTTCATCTTCCCATCATTCATCTCTTCATCACTTACTGTAACAGAGTTTATTGTGTTCAGGTGTTTCTCATTCGGGATTGGTGAGGGTGCAAGTAGCGCCCTCATCACAGGAATGGCCAGGGAAGGATCTGGTCACGCTCAGTTCATCACAGGCACCGACCGCATGCAGCCCAAAGTAAAGCTCTCCACTGGATTTCACAGCCACAAATGTTTCCTAGTCAAATGTCTCAATGTTTTTATCTTTCTCTTCAAACTATATCAGGTGATGCAGTCCCTCAGGTTTGCGCTGCAGCCCCATGTGTTTAATATCTCTGTGGATTGGACCCTTCCAGATGGCGTTACTGTTGACACACTGTCTCAACCCATCAAAGTGCTCTTCCAGGGTCAAAGGGCACTCATTTATGCACAACTTAAAGGAGAGGTGGGATGATTTAGCATGTGTTTCTTTAAAGAGAATAGGAGACCGGTGTCTCTCATTTGTTTAGATGATAAAATATCTGCCCCTCTTTTATAGAGTTCAGGAGGTTTTGAGGGAAAAGTGACAGTCAAATACAGGCTTAAAGATCATCCAGTTACAAACCAGCTCCACTTTTGCCTCAAACCAGCTGGGGAAACAGGGTAACACACACAAACACGCAGAAAGACATTGAATTGGATGACATAAACTCAGCTTTTTAAATCCAACAAATTTCCTTCATGTTTTTGCAGGTTGTCCGTCCACCGGCTGGCGGCTCGGACCCGGATCCGTTCTCTGGAGCAGGAGGAAAGGTCACGTGGTGCGGATGTTAAGGGCATCAGGAGAAAGATAGTGGAGCTCAGTGTTCAGGCAGGAGTGAGCAGTGTTCATACAGCCTTCATTGCTGTTAATAAAGACAGCAGACAGACCGTGAAAGGACCCCTGCTGCAGAGAAGAGTGCAAACACACAGTCACGGTATGTCAGAACTGTATCTGCATGTACCCTGTATATAACTTTTCCTCAGGCTGCATGTGAAGGGCGTGTAGTTACCATATTGGAACCAAAAATATTAGTTTGGCTTTTTTAATGTAAAAAATGTCTCATCCTTTGTCAGTACGAATGAATTAGTCAAAAATCTCAACTTTTTAAAATAAATGCTAAGCTCCACTCACATTTTTCTAGTTAAAATTGTGATTTAAAGGGGGGGGTTTACTGCTTTTTTTCTTTGCATGATTTTGTTTATGGGGTGCAATATAACATGTATTCGTGGTTTTCTTTTTTTTAGAAGTCTTATTTTTCATAAATTTCACCTTTATTGTAAGCCGTGCTCTCCTCTGTCATTTGAACGACCGGTTGACTTCCTGAGTCTATGAAACCAATAGGCAGTGGGCTCTGATGGGTCCTGTCTCGACTTTTTGACTTTTTTAGAATCGCCTTTGACAGCTCTAGACTGGCTGTCTATGGGCATGCACAAACATGTCCATAAAACGTCTCTGGTTACGTATGTAACCTTAGTTCCCTGAAGGGAACGAGACGCTGCGTGTAATCGCAATGGGGGAACGCCTCTGCGTGTGTGCGTATGAAGCACGTATGAAATCAGTCCAATGGCGAGACGGAACGTCATAGGCGGGGTGACGTATCGACCAGGAACCTATAAAGCACACCAAAAACACAAGCGCGACAGCTTCTGACAAGACTGAAGCAAGTGCTCACGGGCATGCCGGGAGTATGACGTAGACACGCAGCGTCTCGTTCCCTTCAGGGAACTAAGGTTACATACGTAACCAGAGACGTTCCCGTTCAGGGAACTCAAGCTGCGTGTAATCGCAATGGGAACGCTAATACCAACGCCGCCATGCGAGCCAGTGTCTGTTGTGTGAAATCAGAGAGAACATTCTGACGAAAGCACCTGCGCCCCTGGCGTGGAGCTAAAATCAAGATGGTAGAATTTCACAAATGTATGCGGGGAAGACCATCCTGCTGCATCACAAATGTCACTGATAGGAACTCCTGACACAAATGCCTTACCAGCCATACCCCGAGTCGAATGAGCACGGACAGCCAGAGGGGAAGGCTGTCCCGCCGATTCATGAGCAAGCGAGATGGCCTCGACCACCCACTTACTCAATCTCTGCTTGGATGCCGGAGAACCTCTATTAGGAGGGCCATAGCAGACGAACAACTGCTCAGATTTCCTCCACAGGGCAGTTCTGTGGACGTAAGCATCTAAGGCCCTCACAGGGCAAAGCAGATTTAACTTCTCCTGGTCTGAAGTCCGGAAAGGAGGAGGACAGAAGGCCTGCAGAACAATAGGCCTGACAATGTTTGTCGGAACCTTAGGGACATAACCTGGTCTGGGGAGGAGAAACGCCTTCGCCATACCAGGCGCAAACTCAAGGCACGAGGGAGAAACCGACAGAGCCTGAATATCCCCAATTCTCTTCAGGGAAGAAATGGCTAGAAGGAAGATAGTCTTTAGGGTGACAAACTTTTCAGAGACCTCTTCTATGGGTTCAAACGGGGCTCGGCAGAGCCCCTCCAGGACAACCGCAAGGTCCCAGGACGGTACCCTCGTGCGCACTGCTGGCCTCAGCCTCAAAATGCCACGTAGGAAACGAATCACCAGTGGGTGTCTCCCGAGAGAGGCTCCACTCAAAGGGACATGGTAAGCTGACAACGCCGCCATGTACACCTTCAGTGTGGAGTGGGATAACCCTGTGGAGAAACGCTCCTGAAGGAACTCCAGCACCGGGCAGTTAACTGGATCCAACTGGTGCTCTCCACACCAAGAGGTGAAAATCTTCCACCTCAAGGCATATAGCTTCCTCGTGGACGGAGCTCTGGATTGGAGGATGGTCTCCACGACCTCGGTCGAGAGACCCGATTCTATGAGCTGGGCCCCCTCAGAGGCCAAGCCCACAGCCTCCAGAGATCTGGGCGGGGGTGAAGGATCGACCCGCATGCCTGTGACAGAAGATCTCCCCTGACCGGGATCTCCAACGGAGACCCGTCCAGGAGAGAAACCAGGTCCGAGAACCATACTTGGGCCGGCCAGTACGGGGCTATCAGCAGCAGACTGACCCCGTCCCGGCGAACCCTCTCCAGAACTCCTGGGAGCAGAGCAATTGGGGGAAAAGCGTACAGGGGTGACCTCGGCCACTCCTGCACCATCGCATCCACCCCCAACGGGGCTGGTGGACTTAGAGCGAACCACAGCGGGCAATGTGATGTTTCGCTGGATGCAAATAGGTCTACCTCGGCACGACCGAAATGTTCCCACAGGAGCTCCACCACCTCGGGGTGGAGTCTCCACTCCCCGGGCCTCGGCCCCTGCCTTGACAGGATGTCTGCTCCCCGATTCAAATGTCCCAGGATATAAATCGCCCTCAAGGAAAGGAGTTTCCCTTGGGCCCACAGAAGGATCTGGCGAGCCAGTTTCTACAGAAGACGAGAGCGCACGCCCCCTTGATGGTTTATGTAAGAGACCACCGATGTGTTGTCTGACCTGACTAGCACATGGTGGCCCCTTAGGTCTGACAGGAAGTGTTTCAGAGCCTGAAACACTGCCAACATCTCTAAACAGTTTATGTGCAGATGACGATGATGGACCTGCCACCGACCCTGGGCTGAGCGACCACTCATGATCGCCCCCCAGCCTGTGAGGGAGGCATCCGTCGTTATGGTAACACGGCGGCACGGAGCTCCCAGTGTGGGTCCCATGGATAGGAACCAAGTTTCTTTCCACATGGCCAGGGCACGGAGACAACGTCGCGTGACCCTGATTGTGCGAAACGGGTTTCCCCTCGGGGAGAACCCCTTGGTTCTGAGCCACCACTGTAGCGGTCTCATGTGCAGCAGGCCGCAGGGAATGACGTTGGACGCTGCCACCAGTAGACCCAGAATTCTCTGAAAATCCTTGACAAAGTGAGTGAATGGCCTAGCTTCGCTTGCCTGACAACTGCGAGAATCGCCGCTATACGGGCAGGAGACAGACGAGCCTGCATCGTCGTCGAGTCCCATACAACACCCAAAAAAGTGGTCCTCTGTACTGGAGAAAGCACACTTTTCTTGGCATTGAGTCTCAGCCCCAACCTCCTTATGTGGGCGAGGACGACATCTCGATGCCGAACCGCCTGATGCTCCGATTGAGCCAGAATCAACCAATCGTCGATGTAATTCAGGATGCGAATGCCCTGGAGCCGCAGCGGAGCCAGAGCCGCGTCCATGCATTTCGTGAAGGTTCGAGGAGACAGCGCTAGGCCAAACGGAAGAACCCGATATTGGTACGCTTCGCCCCCAAAAGCGAACCTCAGGAACTTCCGATGTTGTGGAAGGATGGAAATGTGGAAATACGCGTCCTTTAGATCTATCGTGACAAACCAGTCCTCGGACCTGATTTGCGACACGATCTGCTTGAGAGTGAGCATTTTGAACTTGAGTTTCCCCACAGAACGATTTAACAGGCGCAGATCTAAAATCGGACGTAACCCCCCATCTTTTTTTGGAACGATGAAATATCGGCTGTAATAACCTGACTCTCTGTCGGGAGGAAGAACTCGTTCTATCGCCCCCTTCAGCAGCAACGTTTTCACCTCCTGTTCCATGACCAGAGCCTGCTCGGGGGCCACCGTAGTGGGTAAAATCCCCCGAAAACGAGGCGGGCGTGACCTGAACTGGATCGCGTACCCGAGCTCGATATTCTGCAGGACCCATTGAGATACATTTGGAAGATTTTTCCATTCCACCAAAAATTCTACTAAGGGTACCAGTCTCTCGAGACTGGCCTCTGGAATACTTTGAGAGACAGACACAGTGCCCTGTAATAGCGCAACGACAGGGGACAACTGTTCTGACTGTATATCGCTCCTCCGTGCCAGCGAGCGTCCCTCGGGAAAACACTCGCTGGCACCGCCTACGTCCCGACCCGCAGGCTGGGATAATAGGCTGAGCCGCTAAGGGGACCGAGACAGAGCGGGCACCGTATACAGCGGTGAGCACCTTCCTCTCTCGGTGGGGACCACCCTCAGCGCCCTGACACCCTCGGCGTCAGGGCCTCTTCGACGAGGCCTTCCTGGCGACAATAACCGTCCTCAGATCAGTTTTGTCCCGGGAAGACCTCGCCTGAGAGCGCCGCGTCTCAGCCCGGTTTTGCTGGGGAGGAGCGCGAGACGCGACGCTCTTTTTCTGCTGCGCCCTGTGTGATGAGCTACCCGACGGGCGGGGCTGCTCCCGCCCAGCAGCCCCGGGGACATGCACTTTAATGGGGAGATATTTGTGGAGCGCCGCTGCTTGCTTTTTCTCTTCCTGGAACTTTTCGATGACAGAGTTTACCGAATCACCGAAAAGCCCAACTGTCGACAGCGGCGCATCCAACAGGAATGCTTTATCCTTCTCCTTCATATTGGATAGATTTAACCAGAGATGTCTCTCCGTGGCCACCAGGGCTGCCATAGAACGGCCAACTGCTCTGGCCGTCTCCTTGGTGGCACGGAGAGAAATATCTGCCGCCTGACGCAGCTCTTTAATCGTATCAGCGCCCACAATATCCCCCTCACTGACATCTTTCAACAAATCTGCCTGATAGGCTTGGAGAATGGACATAGTGTGTAAACACGAAGCTGCTTGTCCCGCCGCCGAGTAAGCTTTGCCCACCAAAGCCGATGTATTTCTGAGTGGCCTGGTGGGCAACGCCGGTGTCTTAAAGGACGATGCCGTATCAGGAGAAAGATGGCTCGCCAAAACTTCCTCCATCTTCGGCATCGCCCCATAACCATGACTTTTAGACCCCGCAATGTTTGAGTACATAGAAGTCTGATGGGTAAAAATTCTGGCCGAAACAGGTTTATTCCACGATCTCGCCACCTCGGTGTGGAGATCGGGAAAGAACGGCAGAAACCGGCGCGGAGGTAGAGAGTGCGAAGGCAGAAATCTTTCATCGAGTTTACTTTTCACCCTAGACTCTTTTTTCTCTAAGGGCCAGTCAATGCTTAATTTTTGTACAGCACGAGTCAATACCTCCATAAGCTCTTGCTGTGCGGGAGACTGGGCTGGCGAGTCCCCAGTCTCCACAATATCAACATCAATACTCTCAACATCCAGTTCCTCGGAACTGGATAGCTGAAGAGACGGCGCCTCATCACGAACGGGAGAAACCGCAACGCGCACCCCCGCTCGATCAGAGGCACTGGATCCATCAGGTAAGGGCAGAGAAAGGGTTCCATCGGAACCCGTCTCCATCCCCGCTGATAGGTCCATTTGCGATCCCCACGATGCAAGCCTTCGCCGTGCCTCGGCAACGGCGGGACCCGAACCGCGGGGAGCGCGAACCGCGCCACTCTCCTCAAAGAGGGCACGGCGGGAGCGGAGCGTCTTCATGGGCAGACGCTCGCAGTGCTCACATCCAGCCCCCTCGAGGGCTGACTGAGCATGCTGCGCTCCCATGCAAACAACACACAGATCGTGTGTATCCCCACCCGTGATGTAGCGAGGGCACGGATGAACACACTTTCTGAATTGCTGTTCACTCGCCATAATATCTCTTTCCAGTTTTTTTTTTTTTTTTAAATATGTGAAACTCATGCCTAGCAGATACTAAGGACAGACAAAAACACACTTGAGACACAGACTGATATATATTCACACAGAGAGCTCTTGCTAAAGACTTCAGAAGCTGTCGCGCTTGTGTTTTTGGTGTGCTTTATAGGTTCCTGGTCGATACGTCACCCCGCCTATGACGTTCCGTCTCGCCATTGGACTGATTTCATACGTGCTTCATACGCACACACGCAGAGGCGTTCCCCCATTGCGATTACACGCAGCTAGAGTTCCCTGAACGGGAACAACCCTTAACGTTCATTTTCAAAACTGTGCAACTCACCGAGTGGTTGGTGGTGTTCGTTGATGTTCTGAAACAAGTAGCGTAGCAAAATACCGTTTCTGTCATGTTTTATTTGTCATTTTTTAAATCGCATTGATGTCGTCTGGAGGACTCAGTGCTCGTTGATATTACTGCGCTAGCTACCAGAAAAGGAAAGGGGTCTGTTTACATTTGGTTGTAGTCTTTTCGCTCGGTTCTCCGTCTCTCAGAAGGCTAGCGTGAGCAGAGCAACTGTGCTCCCGGACTTTTTTTACGGTGCGCTAGACACCGTGTTCTGTACAGCGTCCTGGTTGTCGCCATCAAGTGGTTGGGAGTGTGCTAACGCTTCAGACTCAAATATCGAGCGGAAGTTTATACGCGGTTGGGAGGTATCTGAATAAATAGTTCCACTATTGAGAATGAGGAGTTGACGTCATTTTACAGTGCCCCTCCCCTTTCCGCCATGTTGGTAGGTTTCCCACGACAAAACAGTATTGATTACGTGTGTTTTTAGCTCTGTAGTAGAGGAGTTTCTCGCAATACCGCACTGTTTTACCATGCCTGAAAGTAACCGCTGCGTTAAAAACCGATAAAAACCCTGGTAACCGATAGCGTCACCTACCATCATGGCCGAATGGCTCAGACCCCGCCCAAATAGGCACGTGACTCCTCATTCTCAATAGCAAACAACACGGATTGAAAGCATACATTGCACCGATATATTTGTTTTTAATCATCAACAAACACCACCAACCACTCGGTGAGTTGCACAGTTTTGAAAATGAACGTTAAGGGTTGTTTTAAGGACATGTTTGTGCATGCCCATAGACAGCCAGTCTAAAGCTGTCACAGGTGATTCTAAAAAAGTCAAAAAGTCGAGACAGGACCCATTGTCAAAATTTCTAAGTCCACCATTCTATTTCATTCAAAACAAACTACAAAATAGACTCAGGGTGTTAAATACCGGAATTATCCTTTAAAAGCTCTGATTTTGTCTATATGGATGTGTGTGTTTTATGTTTCCCTGACAGCAAGGATTTCATATGTTTTTGTTTTTTTTGTCCCTTCACAGTTCAATACATTTGAGCAGTTGAGTTGACTCAAGATATAAAATGTTCTGTTTTAGATCTGTATCAGTGGTTCTTTTTAAGTGTGTGTGTTTCTTGTGGTTGCAAGAATGTGTTTGTGGTATGTGCTAAGACAAACATTCTCTGGAAATGATGAGTGCAAAAAAAATGGCTCTTGTATTGTACCTGTTTTTATGGGTTCATTGACAAACAAAACAATACAAAGGGTTATTGCAAGATTATTTTGGGCTAGAAATGTCCAAATCGATCTATCCCTATATCAAATCTTTTCTTGTTCGTTAGTTCGTTTGGATGTGTCTGTTCTTAGATGTTTCTCCAGATCTGAATCTGTTCTGACCTTTGTTTTCTCTGCCTGTAGGTAAACAACTTGCTCGGCCTAAGTCTAAGATACTGCGGGGTAAATGCACTTTACTGTGATATTATTTTTATGATAGAGTGGAGTATGCAATGTTTAAAGAAACTTGCATTCAAATGATTGGGTTATAAGCCTCACCAAACCACAGCACTAAACAGAGAGCACTAAATGATTCCCCGTCACTTAACAGTTAATAACGTGTAAAATTAATTTGTTTTCCAGCTCCTAAAGACGCGTTTGAAAGAAATGGTAAGAAAAATCATATTTGACTAATCTTCTCTCGTGGTTTTGGGTTTAGGTGTTTTCTGTATTTGTTATACAGCTTTACATAAATATATACAGTATGTTTATGGTAAGAATGGTGCTTTATAACAAACACACACACACACACAGTTGTTGCTCATCACTAGTCACGCCATGGCCTGATGACTTTACTATTAATCTCAATTGTGTAAATAGTCATAATAAAGAATGAGGAGATGTTCAAACTTTTGACTAGTATATAGATTTTGGGCTATTAAAGTAAACCTCTTAATGCATGTATTTTAACAGTGTAACATTTGTTGATGCAAACACAGTTAGAGGCCTATATGTTTGTACATAAGACTGCATCTGAGGACAGATTTTTATTATTATTGCTGATTCAGTTTTGACTTGTTTTTGTTGAGGTGGCTCACGCAGAGTGTTAGACCAAGATATTAGCGTTGCATTCATTCAAATAAATAGCTTTACATATGGCGTTTGTGCATGTTTGTTTTTCTATAGAGATGGCCAGATCCTAATGTGGTTCTGCAAGAAAAATAAATCTTTATTTATTGTTCCTGGTTGTTCACATTTGTCTGAATGTGTTGGCAGATTCCCGGCAGGAAAGACGGTCACGGATGCGGAGCACTGGCAGTCGTTGTTCACCTCGTCGAGGTGTTTCACCGAGGTGTTCGCCTTCGTTTGAATGTGTTGGCATAGCAGATTCCCAGCCGGAAATACTGTTAAAGGAGAGACTGATTTGTTCTTCACTAATTTCTACTAGTAAGTGAACACACACATCAAAGGCCATTTCACAAACTTCTGTCAGGGCTCAGACATTGTGATGTACATCATCATTTATCATTTAGAGATTACTAAACAAATGTGTTGAATTTGTGCTGATCATAAATGTGTTCATGCCTCATTTTTTAATCTGTTACTTTGAATTTTCTGCTGAAACGAGAGAAACACACAGTCATTTTAGAGAACTTGTTAATTGTTAGTGAAAAAATATTTCTTCCGATTTACTAATGACATTAATTATCTTGTTTTCTTTCTTTTCAGATATACCTCAGTCTTTTGAAAAGTAAGACAATGAATCCACAGTGATTAACATGTTTTTGTGATATGTGTATGTGAGTTTATTTCAAACTCTATGTGAACCTCTAATGCAAAGTCTCCTTATGGTCATTTATTGTTGTTGTCAGGTGCAGTTTTCTTTTCGACTCTCTTGGCAAACAAAGTGGTATACTAACACACACACACACACACACACACACATTGGGCTTTGATGTTTTATGGGGACTTTCCATAGATATAATTATATTTATACTGCAGAACAATAAATTCTACACCCCTAAACGCAACCATAACAGAAAAAAATATTTATTTTTATGGTATATATATATATATATATATAAGATTGTTTTCTCATGGGGACCTAAAAGTCTGTCCCCACAATGTCAAAAAGGACTATAAAAAAGGTTACTGTGACATTTGGTCCCCTTTTTTGGGTTTACCACACACTAACTGCTAAACAGTTCAATTCAGTTTACGTTTATATCCACAGCACTTTTCACAATACACATGATTTCAAAGCAGATTTACACAAATCTACGTCTAAGTTATGCATTTCAGAAATGTACATACACAAAGTCACAGTTAGCAAAAAATGTATTAATTTAAACAATGTAAAATTTAATGCAGAAACAATGAGTAATGAATACTTGCTTGTTAACAAATGATAAAATAGCAAAAAAAAAAAATTATAGAATAAAATATAGAATTGAAATGAAGATTGAGTATTTTTATAATCTTGGAAATACATTTTATTTTCCCTTTTTTACCTCTTCAAATTTGTCTATAACGGCCTCAACTTCTGTTAGTACGATTAAACGAGTCAAAGAACCGATCAAGAATGTTATGCTATTACGTAATTCCTAACATAGTCCAATATTTTGAGTCAAAATAACCAACAAGGACAAAGAGGCAAGAAACTTGAACAGATTTTCCATGATTGCATAAATAACTTCTTTTTCTCTCTTTCTTTAAATGTGTGTTGAACTGCAGACCCGTTACTCCAGCTGGTTTCTCTCCAAAAGGCGTCAGGCTGCTGGGATCTGGACGTCACACTGGCTGATGCGTTTGGGAAGACGGAGGATGAGCTGACCAATCAGAAACCAGCACAGGTGAGAGATGATGAATAATAAGACAGAGATGATTGTGTCCAGTAACTAATGCAGTGTATGATGGTTTGTACACAGGTGGAGGGGTCAGTATGGGCCACTCTCCTGGCTCTGATCTGGTTATACGGCTGTAAAATAGACCAGCGGGTCGAGTGGCAGTTTGTGGCCATGAAGGCAGCGTCATGGATCGGCTCTCAGAAAGGTGAGATCTCCATTTCAGACCACATTCACTCAGTCAGCGTTCATCAAATATCTGCAGTTCTTGATGATTCGAGTGTGTGTGTTTCAGTGGGCGATCTGTCTGAGTGTGTGTGTGTGGGTAATGCCCTGCTCGGATGTCAGGTGACCAAAGAGACTCTGGGAATCTGAAGACGTCAGTGTTTCTACTTCCTGTGCCGTCAGAAGACGAAACAACTGTTACAGTTTCATTTACTCTTTATGTTAGTGTTTCATTAGAATTTAGTTCTTCGCTTAAATCAACAGCATATTTTTATGTGAAATGTTTTAAAACTCTCATGATAATGTTTTTACTGTTTTGAAATTGAATATAATTTTAATCAGATTCATTGGATGAGTCCTCAATCAATGAGTATATACAAAGCAACAGAATCGTGTTTAGGTACTAAAATGATTATGTTCACACAAACATGTTAATGTTGTATTATGGCAGCAAAGAATACTATTAAAGTAATACAATATTTTAATAATACCTGTCATTCTTTTTCATGTAATGAAAGTAAAAAAACACCATGAAATAGTTCATACAGTTCATTGAAGCCATTTAATACGTTACTATGTTTGAATTCCACACATGAAGTCCCTTCATTTCAACATACATTTCATTTCACAGCTTGTAGAGCACAAATTTGATATAATGTTCTCTCCAGTCCTCGATGGTTCATGATGGTTCACAAGTCACTTCAATAAATAATTTATTTTAAAACACCTGCATTTTTACTTCTATCTTTGGATTAAAGCATCTGATAAATTACTAAATGTAATTATTGATTTCAGACTTTATTTTTAATTCAGATTTGCTTTCACTGGCTGGATGGACACCCAGAATGAAACAAATGGAGCTGTGACATCAGAACGGTCATTTATTTAGACTAGTGTTGTTGCCTCGTACACACTTTGACAAAAGTTATTGACAAAATTAACTACTGAAAGAACATTAATGATTATTTTTAATAAACAGATTAAAATCATTTGACTGACTGAGATGAATCACAAAACACTACTATTGAGGACGACCAAAAGGCTTTTTTGACTCCATCTTGACTATCAATCTCACTATGCAAGTAAATATAAGAATTGGAAGTAATTCTGATACATTTGATGTCATTTCACAGCCCCCCCCCCCCCCCCCCACCCCATCCATAGTTTATTATTTGTTATTAGTTGTCAATGTATTGCTTATGTAACTTGATACAGCGACTGTAAATGTGTCAACAGCACAAACCCTCACAGTAAAATGTCATTTCCTTTAAAAGAGCTTGATAAGTTCTCGTGGCTCAGATAAATCAGCCAGGTATGGCTGACCTATTTTTCCATCTTAAAAATATATCTAAATTACGACAAGCTCTCAATGACAAATGCAGAAAAGTTGTTTCATGCGTTCATGAGCTCAAAGCTAGATTATTGTAATGCTCTACTGGGTGGTTACCCCATACACTTAATAAACAAACTGTGACCATGTGACCTGCGCTATATTTTTGAGTCACTTTGGCCTTAGAAACACATTTTTAGTTTGATAATAAAACATAAAGCCTCAGGTTTTTAATAATATAATTATCTTTTCAATATACAATCATTTAAATGGACATCTGATCAAAAGGTCTGTCAGTGATTGACTAAAGCCGTTGGACCGGACCTCAATCACTGAGGATACTTTCACACAGCAACAGACTTATTATGTTTAAACACAAATTGGTTAAGACAAATAGTCACAATTGCATTCTATAACCAAAAGTATGTCTTTATAAAAGTATTAATTTATAATTAAACTTTAATTAAAATGAAAACACCTCTAAAATTACGAAAAGTTAAAGGGCTACAATTAAAAAGGTTTCTAAGGACAAATTGTATTTGTAAAGTACAAATAACTGATAAATCACCCTTCCACTTGGCTCAGAAGTTTGAGGGGGAGGCGTTTTTGAATACAACCTAAATAATATTCATGATGAGCAATTTTTAATGCAATTCTTTGGAGATTTTTTTTTTAAGTTTATTTTGTTTACCTTAAAATTACTAGATTTTATCAATAACTAATATAATTTAAGCAAATTCTTTCAACATAAATACAAAATGATGTTCCCAATACATGCATTCCTCTGTTATATCAGCTCAAAATATCTTATCTCTGCAGACCTCATATGAGGGAAAAAAAAAATAAAAAATATATATATATATATATATATAACATGAATGATATTTCCTGACTCTTGCCATGAGATGGAGCAAATAGCCTAATGAACTGTTCCTTTGGGGCTTAAAGTCAGTTACAACTTTTCTCTTCAGTATTTCTTCAGGTATGTATTTAGACATTATAACATATTGTTTTTGGTAACGTTTTAGCTTTTTAAGTTTTAATTTTGAGCAATTTTTGCTGTTGTTTTTTTCTAGTGTTTTTTCTGTTTATAATGAAGTGCCAAATATTGTAATACTTCAAGTTATTAATACTTAAAGTACAACTTTGAAGAATATTTATTTGGAAATGATGATTTTAATATGCTGTTATGTCTATGTTATAACTTTACCATTTATTTTGCATTTATGTGTCTAACCATTTCATATCTCTGTGGTCTGCATTATTTGTGAAAAACGTTTTCAAGTTCAAGTGTGACAAAAGTGCCAAGCACTCCCATGAACTCATTTTAAAGATAAAATAAAATTAAGTTTCGGGTCAAAATGACCCGAGGAGAGTTAAACGGGCACGTGATATCACTTCTGCCTCCCAACGACGTGCCTAATTAATATTCATGAGCAAAACAGCGGTTAGTCTGTGAAATCAATTCACTTCCCCAAAAGTTTGGCCACTTTAGAAACGTTCAGAACCACAGATTTACTCATTGAATGAGTAGATCTATGACGATTTCAGGCACATTTAACAGTAGGTGTTTGAGTTTTTCCTTCGATTTGAAGTAAAACGGAGCGTCGAAATGGTGAACTGCGGTCTTGTGACTCAGAAAAATGTGCCAGGTAAGTTACGTTAAGTTATGAATTCTGTTTACTGTGTAACTTATTTAACGTTAAGTGTTACTATAATATTGGATGAATTTAGATTTTAACCCGACAGATATAACGTTATATATATATAACGGTCAACTGGGACAAGTTCAAAATGGTAGCTACTGCCTGGGGCCTGCCTGTTGTCACATGTTACGTTCTCATTTCTATTAGCTAATGTTCAATACATACATTTTTCATTATCTCTTAGAGAGCTGTATAAGGTGTAACGTTATTTGTGTTGTTCTGTTGGTTTGTGTGACTCAGTGCCTCTGAAGAGCATCTCAGTGGAGGTCCGTGTTCAGGATCATGTCTCCACAGTCTCCTCCACTCTGCTGTATGTGAATGAGGAAGAGCGCCCCCTGGAGGCCTTGTTCGTGTTCCCTCTGCCCGCTGATGCTGCTGTCTGCCACTTCAGTGCCAAGATCGGAGAGCAGGAGATTGTGGCAAAGGTGCAAGAGAGAGAAACCGTGAGTCCAATTATAAGTCTGTAGGATGCCTATTTTTTACTGTGTGCAGCACGTAATATATGTGTGTCTTGCAGGCGAGGGATCGGTATGATGACGCTTTGAGTTCGGGTCAGCAGGCGTTTCTGCTGGAAGAGAGCGCAGAGAGTCCTGATGTGTTCGGACTGAGTGTCGGGTGTCTGTTGCCGGGTCAGAACGCTGCCGTCACCATCATCTACGTCACCGAGCTCGATGTGCAGGCCGACCACTCGCTGCGCTTCTGTCTGCCGGCTGTGCTCAACCCCCGATACACACCAGCAGGTACAGCAGCTGCTGACACTAGGGATGGGTATCGTTAAGGTTTTATCGGTATTACTACTCTTACCGATACTGCTTATCGATCCGGTACTTTAACGGTACTTTTTTTTTTTAAGAATAGACCCCTTTTGCGCCAACGTCACAGTTACGTCACGGCACTAGCTGGAGGCAAAACAAAGTGAAAACTGGAGGCGGCCTACATAATAAAGAGCTTAAATTACTTATTATTTTTAAATGTCATCTTATTGTGTTGTTTGGTGCAAGTATCAATGAAAAATGAATATGCTGTATCTGGATTTTTTATTTCTAGAAAATATTCACATGATTAAAATCGCACCGTAATGACACTCTTTACGTTGTCGTCATCTCGGCGCTGGCTCTGCAGAACTACGGATCATACACACAAGTCTTGTACAGGTCCATTCAGCACATAGTTATAGGCATCTAAAGATTTATATGCCCTCAGTTCCTCTTTACGATCGGTTTCTCTATAAGGTAGGTGTAGAAGTCAGGCCACTCAGCCGAGGTAACGTAACGTTAATCCTGTCAGATCGTCCATGCATTGAGTGAGTGTGTGTAGGCGGCTACGGGTCGGCCAATCTGGTTCTGTCCGTTAAAAATAACTTTTGGAAATAACAATCGCGATCCTGGACAGTAAGTGTCCCTACACATTAAGATAAAATCTGATTTTCTCCAGTCATTGTTAAAAAACAAGCTAATAAAACTTGCTAACTAGCGTTAGTGAAGTGGCCAGAGGGATCGCTCTGCCTCCACCTAAGCTCCGCCCACATAAAAACGTCACCATGTTTACCAACTGAAAAGGGGTCTATTAAGAACATAATTAACTTTATATTTTGAAATGTAAAATAGAAAAAGCAATACTTTAACAAAATGAAGAAAAAACTAATTTAGTAATCAAATGTAAAATAGCACTGGATAGTTTATCATGGATAGATTAATGCTTATTATATCTAAAATTACTCATTCAAGAGCTGAGAGTGATTTTCTCTACCTTTTGTTGTTTGATTTGCATTAATGGCTGAATCGTCAGCAGGTTTATTAGACTACTGCCCCTTTAAGACCGAGTGCAGATCTATTATAGGTGACTGATTTTCTCCCTACTATTTACGTCCATTTAAGACATAATTGTGTTTAAGTGAATAAACTGTGTTTAGTAAGTCTCAGAGCTGGTCATTTTGTCATTTTTATGTATATTTGACAGTTTAGGACTCACAAAGCCCAAAGTAGGCTATACTTTTCTTGTCTCATTGCAGTCTGTTTTGGAGCGCGGGCACCGCCTGTGAACAGCATCTCTTTGCGCAAGTTTTTGTGTTTTTAATAGCCTTTTTTTAACTAGCAACAGTAGAGACAGCATTTTTCAACAATCGCCTATCGTGCTGATTCTGACGGTACGTTTGGGTTTTAGGAAGAACTGAAAGCGCTGTGAAGTGAAGGGACTTGCGCTGGACAGATCATGCGTCTCGTTTTTAACGGTTTTATCTCAAATATCTTCTTTTTACAATCTTTGGAAGCCGAAATCTAAAATAAAATTAGAATAATATCCCAGATCTAAAGTGTAACCACGTTTGAATGTTTAGTTCTGTCCTCATTGTCACTCATTAAGCAAGCTGTCGTGTTGTGCGTGCTGTGGCTCCGCGTGAGAGATCTCTCTCTCTCTTCTGAACTGCGAATAGCAAATTTGCCACACAGAT